CGGCCTGGGGGAGCCGCAGCGGCGGTGCAAGCCTGTCGGGGCGTTCCAACGGCAGGGTCTGGTCTGCGTGCTGCAGGATTCCTGACCGTGGCGTGTTTCTGCACAGACTTAAGGCCAGCCTCCAGCTCTGCTGAAGAGCAAAACGAGGTGCTGTCCCTCGAAAGGCTCTGTCTTGGCTTCTCCTTGGGCAAATGAGCTGTGTAGTGGCGGTGCCCTGCCAGGCGATGACAGGCTCAGGTGCCGCGCGACGTTTCTCCGCTGCGATGGGGAGCTGTGTTTGTGGTGCAGTCGGCGGAGGGGAGCAGCTCACCTGTCCTTGTTGAGCTACGGTTCTTTGACATCCCGCCTGCACAGAAATGTTGTCATACACTCAGCAGCTGCTGCGTGCCATCTCGGGAGCCAGGAAACGGTGCCAGAAACCAGAGGTAACTGACTTAACTGCAGCCCAGTTTGAGATGCTGAGGATCCCTCGGTAGCTCTAAGCAATCCTCCTAGCTCCTCTAGTGCTACTGAGCTAGTAAGCAGGGTGATTTCTTAGGTTTTCATCCAACACTGGGCAATCTGGTTCTTCTGTTTATTGATGGAGATGTCAAAATTCAATCCTTTTATAAAGTGGGGGTAAAACCAGATGAGAATGAGGCAGCTGTTAGTTGACAACCTCACCTGTAGCACAGCTTATACTGATTTTTGGCTGGTAAGGGACTAAGGGTAAAATGAAGATCATACAGGGTCTAGTACACTGACTCTCTGAAGTATTTTTTAATGCATTGGAGAGGTCAGTGAGAAGGTAGAGCACAAGATCAGAGGGTGGCAGCCTGTATACTGTGTTTAACAGCTGTAGGTAACTTGGGAGACAAAATATCAGGGGGAGGTGATGTAGTCTCCGATGCAGGAGCTCTGAAGTGGTGGGTGAGACTGCTGTAATCTCGCTTTGCTGCTCTGGGATCAGCAATTACAGTTCTGCCTGTGCTGGCTCCTATGCTAAATATGTCACTTTTTCCTTCAGGCAAAATGCCTTGCAACTGGATCAAAAATTCGCAAAGGTAGGCCTGGAAGTTGTGCTCCTGTTTACACTCGGTTGTGGAGTTGCTTGAAGAAGCCTTGTTCAGAATTTGAAAATCCATCTGAAACTTCAGCCATCCAAAAATATGTCAACTGTTACGGCAGTTTCTCTTGAACAGTTTCTGTAACTCCTTGTCTGAGTCTCGCTGCAGCCTCCTGACACAGCTGGGGATGTTACACCTTTGATTTCAGGCAGTGGTTTTTAAAAGCTCATAAACAGTTTGCAGTGCAGCTCCCAGAATCCCGAGGCACCTGGGAGCTGTGCTGCTGGCACCGCACGTTGAATCCTCTGGCTCAAACAAAGTTTCAAAGAATAATGCATCCTCCGGAGGAGAGCGTGTTCCTCACAACCCACTCACTTCTGTTAGGCTGAGATGTGCTGCTGAGACACCAGTCTAGGGATAACACTTCCAAAGGAGGAAGGAGGGGGAAAAAACAGGTTCTCATCTGCAATTAGACAAGAGCCAATTGTGGTGCTGGGATCGGCACCAGTGACGTAAGTTAATTTATGACTCGCTGGAGAGCGAACGCTCAGTAATATCTCGGAGCAGACTCCAACCTGGATTCCGTGTGACACTTGGAAGATTAGTTTCCAGTTTGGGAGGGGGAGGGGAGGTGGTGAAAAAAAGGCTCGGAAAGCTGTTGGATGAGGCAGATCGTCTGCTGCAAGCTCGGAGCTCTTCGGTGTGGCACGCTGGATCCTGCCTGGGCACCCGCGGCCACAGCCGAGCCGCGTGTCGCCGGTCGGCGCTGCCCTGGGGACCTGCGCACCAGGCTGAGCTTTGCTGGGGCCCTGGACATGGCCTGGCCTTCAGAAGTGCTGAGCGTTTGGCAGCGTTTACGTGGAAAAATTGATCCTGTACTTAAATAGCTCCTTTAGTGATGTGGCAGCACATTTGGTGCAAGCTCTGGATGGGGCTCGAGGAACTGACTGGTGAGGACGGGGAGACTCAGCCTTTCTGGAGGATGAGGTTAAAATTTCTTTGGAGAGAAGAGCGTTGAGTGCCAGAATTGTGAGAAAACAGAACATCTCACCGTCCAGAGGCAATGAGGGAAGCACGAGAGGTTCGGTTTCAGGGTCAGGTAGGAGCCCTGTGGGAATACCATGGTGCTCATTTGTTTCTTAACCGGATCTGTACTCAGATTCCCAGGCTGAGCACAGTGTTGTCGCTTGCCAGCTGAGCATATCTGCAAGACAGGAGGTACCTGGTAGCCCCTTCTCCCAGCCTGGCTCTGAAAACCTTTTTCCTGAACGCGCTGCCAAGGCTTTCTTCTGCTCCCTTAATAGATGTTCTGCCTCTGTAGGAAGCGTAGCTGCTGTCCCTCCTCCGGGACCAAGCGAAGGCCAGATATTGCTCTTCAGTAGTGTTCTTGTGCCAGGCTTGGCTATGAAGCTTCTTGGTTTGTCTCCAGCAGCTCTTACTGCTTCGACTTAAGTCCTGGCCTGAGCCATTCGGAACTCTGGGCTGTTGTGTAAAAGTAAAGGATGAAAAAGGTGCTGGAAGGGTTGATGCAGAGCTCTGCGCTTGTGCAACTGCTGCTGCAGTTTGTTTCTTATAAACTCATCTCTCATGCTTGGCAGGATGTTACATTGAGGATGCATGACAGGTTTTAGGACTTGAGTCAGAATTGGAGGCCTGGGGTTAGGCCACTGGCTGATGAGACTGAGTAGACATCAAAGATGCAAGGGGCTCAGCTGGACGTTCTTTCAAAGGTGGGAACAGTCCACAGTTGGGCTGACTCCAGGGTTTGGTCACCCTACTCAGTACTCGAGGTGAGGGCTGTTGTAGGTTACCCAAAGAGCTGTTTTGGCTGCACTTGGCATTCACAAGTGTCAGAAGTACTGATGACTTGGGTTCTGTAGCCCAAGTCTCTTGGGGAATGAATGAATAAGTAGAGAATTTGGCCAGGAAACTTCTAACCAGATCTCTTTCTAGCAGGAAAATTGAAGCCGCCTTTTCTGAAGGTTGAAGACCAGAGCAGGTAAATGAGATCTTTCTAAATATGGTCCCTTAAAACCTCGGGGGCTCCGGGGAGGGAATCTTTTACTGGCGTTATTTGCAGTGAATGTTTTGTCCCCAAGGCAAAGTGTGGCTTCTCTGAAGACCCTGATACACCCCAGGAAGCTGACACTCTCCCAGAGGGAGGCAAATGGAGTTTAGAGAAACAATCTAGGTGGCTCATATGTCGGGGGCGTGGGGCGAAGGTGTTAAATGAGACTTGACAACAGAGTTTACTTCCTTGCTCGGATTCTGTTCGTGATCCTCGACAGGTCACTTGATCTGCTGGAGCCCTCTGAAATGAGGAAAGAGATTGAAACACATGAGGTCAGAGCCTGTAACTCGATTACCGCAGTCAGCACAAGGGGACCTGATCCGTGTGGTGTTTCTGACAACTCTGTAACTCTAACGGTGTCCCGAGTGCCAATTAATTATTCTGAAGGCAACATTTAAGGCAGCTACAGAGTCAAATATTGGGTTTTACATGCTGCACGCAATCAAGTGTGAAGGGAGAGATGTGGTCTGGGAACCAAACCCTTCCCGTGCTGCTGCGTAGCTGAAAATACTGCGCTGGCTGCTGCTGGTGTGCCTTGGGGGGAAAAGTGGGGTTTTATCTGAGCAGGCAAGCCTGCCTTCTGTCCAAAACACGCCCCGTGTCAGTGCCCGTACTGGGAAACAGGTTTAGTACTTCCAGTGAGAAACTGGAAGTCTCTGGAACAGCCAAGTGAAAGGACAGCGACGGGCAGTCTCTCTTCATAAAGGAGATGGCACCTTGAGCCCCTCGAAGGGAGGGACAGCTCTCTCACCATGCTATGACTGCCACAAGTCTGATGCCCTCATCTGCTTCTTTCAGGCAGTTCCAGCCCTTCCATCACCAGTTCAAAACCTTTCCCAGCCTGAACTTCCTGGCACCCAAATCCTCCAGCCCATTCGAGCCTCTGAAAAGCTTCTCGAATTCTTGCAGAGGCAGGTAGGTTGTAGTTCCTTCTGTGCAAGTTTTAACCCAACTCTCCTGCCAGCTGCTGCCCTGCTGCTTCCTGGGATCTGGAGAACCACTTGGCTTCTGGAGGCCGGCAAAGGGAGCCCTGCCCTGGGTTAAATGGCCGTG